GCAGTGCTCAACACAAAAGCTGCTTTGGCAGAACTGCTATATGAAGGTACAGTTCTAGTGTGAGCACCTCGTAACCTTACAAGAGTGCCTCTGTCTGTGTATACTTTCTGAAGAATCACACTGAAAAAGATAGTGAATAAGATTAAACTCAAAAAATATTCACAGTGCAGCAGTGGGTTTACATGTCCCTGGTAGCAGCTTTTCAAAGAAAACAAACTGTAATGGTGCTGCGAAGAGCCACTCTTCAATAACAGTTCTTGAAGCCAGCAGTCACAAGGATACGTTTTTCTGTCTCCTTTATTCATTTTCCCTTTTCATTGAGGCATCAGTGTGTGCAGCTGGTCAAGTAGTTCAGCTTGAGTGTGTTTCTTCTTGGGTTCTCAGTACACGCCACAGAAAAGAAGGCACTAGCTTTGTTCCTTTGGAAGCACCCACACTTTACTTTAAGGAGACTCAAAGGCTGGGCTGTAAAAGTGGTAACCTCCTTGTGCTTTTACTGCAGCGACAGGCTGTTTTGTCACTAACTGAAGCTGAATGCAGACATGACTGCAGACACTTGTTCTGGATGTTAGGCTATTTCTGAAACCTTTGAAGGGAAAAAAACCATCATAGTCCAAATCATAGTTGTATTATATTGTTCATATACAGTTTCCCATAAACTCTCTGTGCTTCATCCTGCAATGTGAAGTTGAGTCAGGAGTAAAGAAGGCATGAAAGCAGGAGGCAGAGGCTGCACATTGAGAAGTGTGTACTGATTGCCACCTCCTTCAAGTCAGCTCAGAGCACACAGCGGTAAAAAGGCAAATGATTACTTGCCAAACAGAACCAACTTTCTTAACTTGATACTACAGAAAACTGTTTTGTTCAGACTTTGTGAATATAGCTGTTTATAATTCATCTGTGTCAATTCTGAAATAGACATTATATGCAAAGCAATGAAACGGGGATATTTTGCTACAGGACATTCCTGTTTTGCAATATGCTGCTATTTTCTTGGAAAGAAAAGCGAGCAGAACCTTATAAGACTAACAGTAAACAATTTCAGATTCAGTATGTGCATCTGAAGAGAGAAGATTACTGAAATTACAGATAGTTTTTAAAAGTGACTGTGCCCTCTAACAAAAGGCTTTTGTTCTTCAGATAGTAGCAAGCATTCACAGCAGTCGTTTAACCATAAGCAGACTACTGCTTTCTGCTATGATTGTGCAAAGCTTATAACATGCAATAGGATGCTGAGTTAATAATTCGTAGCTCAGCGCAGCGACTGTAAGTAATGAGAATAACAGTACAGAGATTGATTCTTGTCCATCGCCTCTCCCTTTACACAAGAGAACAGAAGATGGTGTTCACTGTTTCCTTTCATCCCTTTTATTCTTTTTTGAGTTGCAGAAGACTCCTTCCTTCCCCCCTCAGCTGTGCCCAGGAAGCACAGCGATGGCACTGACTAGAACGTGAAACACGTTGGTCTCTGTGAAAGCAAAGCATTCCTCTCTATCTGAAATGCAGCACCAGGACATCTCTTCTGGGTTCTCAGAACATTTGAAATCTTGTTTGTATTCCTCTTAAAGTACTTGGGATCTGTTTGAAGTAAAGAAGCAATCCTTTCAAACAAACAAGCTATGGCATTTTATCATCTTCTGAAAGCAAAGTCTGCATGATCAGCATTTCTGCATTAAAAACCTAACAAAAAGGTTCATTGTTGAAGCATTCTTGAAACGCTTCATATCATCTCTACTTTTCCAAGGAGCAAGTGCAAGACTTTCTTGGATGAGGCAGAAGAGAATGTCTGAGCCCTTCGCTTTATTCTTAACTCCAGCAATAGCATGTCTTTTACTTTTTTTTCTTCTGCAGCATTCAAACTACACCTTAGATTCCTCTAAGCTTTAAGCAGACCCGTTTCTGGAGACCAGCTGCAGCATACTGCAGTTGGCGGCAGCAGCATGATCTGAAGATGATGAGCTTCAGGAATAAGCTGAATATTAAGTTATCATCTGTTGACGAGCACAACTGTTCTTGTCTGCATTAAAGTTTAAAACAATAGGTGGTTCAAGTGTTTGAACTGAGCAGCCTGTATCAGACTTAAGTCATGCTTCTTTGGCTAGTCTGCCTGGTGTGCATGATAGCCAGAGGTGTTATGTTCACTGCGGCTGCATGCAGAGCTTCTCCTTCATTACCCTCCATGTTTATATAAATGAAGGTACTTGTCAGTTAAGCAGCAATTACTCGTGAATTCTGTAGTTGTCTTTAAGTCCTCTGCTCGCTCATGGTTCTCTGGTTTTGATTTCCAGCCTCAGGTCTTGCCAACGATCATAGTTCCAAACAGGTATTTTCATATGCCGCGTGCACACAAATCTGCTGGCAAATCAAATTATATTTTGGGGATCAAACACACCTATGTGCCTTTCATCAGTCCTTCTCTGGAAACGCAGCACGTACCACTATCTGAATTTGCTGGAGTTTCAACATGATTATCAATAATTACAGACTTAGCCCTGGAAGCACCATTTGCTCACTCACAATTCCATTAACACTCTCCCCACCCCCAAACAACAGAGGAGGTTGAGGGCATGCTAAGAGCTGTGGAATTGCGAGCACCGCTGGGTTACTATTATTTTCCAATTGCAATTCTTCTGCTCTTCCTAGCATGAGGGTATGTTTGTGTGTATAGATGTGTGTAAGGAGGAGTTTCCTGTGCGTGTATATGTAGGTAGATATGGGATCAGATAAATAGGCATTGTTGATTTTATTCCAGCTGTTACCTTGATAGAAATATTCCACCTCAGTCTGAGGCAGCAGCTCCAGCTGAATTCAGACACCTCTGTCAGCCTCTGTTCTAGCACATGTGCAGGCCTTCATTCCTCTACTCCCTGGCTTCTGAGCTTGTTCTGATTTCTGTGCAGAAACTCCCTCACCAACTACACTGCCCAACTACTCCCTCCCACCACCCCAAACTGTCCTGTTCAGTGTCCACGCAAAGACAACAGAAAAGCAGAGATGATCACGTCTAAGGTTACTGACATGTGTATTGCCAGTAGCTGTTTCTGTCTGCAAAGAAGAGGTTATTTTTTAAGTGTTAAACGACTGCTGCTGCATACTATACAAAATTCCTAGAGCTGTGTCTTAGTGCACTGTAAGGCTGAGTTGTATTTCCAGTGTAAACCCCTTCCTCAGTGCTCTTACCTTTCTCTGTGGTCAGTACAAGGAACCCAAAGGCTAGTTTGATGCTACAGTCACCAGAGACACGCAGGCAGTGTTTGGAGGCACCCCTGCAGGTACTGGACATCCATATAGATCAAGCATCCAAGGATGCATTTTTTTGTCTGTTCTACCTTTAGTTATTTCTTCTGTCAGTTATCCTAATGTTTATGTTACCTACAGAATAATAAGTTATCACTCATTTGCTAGGTAATATCATCACAACATGATACTGCGTGTTTGTTTGGTTTCTTTACGTTGAGCTTCATGAAAGCAATTCTCAACTGTCACAACTACTGAATAACTACTGATTGACACGGACACCATGGGTCACATGGACCCAAAGCAAACATACTCTGTCACTCAGAACCAGTTCCTTGCCTTTGCTGTTTTTGGTCTGGATGATGATGAAGGTAAAGCCAATTCCACTGCCTCAGCTGCACACATGCAGGACTCGCCTTCTTGCTCCACGGCTGCAGCAGTCAGTGCTCTGTGCCCATACCCCAAACCCTGGAACATCTCAGGATTCACAGGACGCATCACCCACACATCCCAAAGCGACCAAGTTGTATATTGTACCTGCTCTTTCTAATCACTTTTGTTGTGTGAAACAATAAAGCTGTTCATAAAGAGTTGCAACATATTAAAGATGACAGTGCTGGTCTGTGATTGAACTGTGCGTTCTGGGAGGGGTTTTGCATCAGCAAAAGGCAGAGAGCAAAGGGAAGAACTTAAACAGCCTATGGAACTTGTACCAGTTCACAGGCACTGAAACTTGTTAGCCCAGTACAATTTGCATACATCCAGCAAGGCAGAAAGCTTGGTGCACCATTTGTTTCATACCAGCCCTGATTCAGTCACTTGACATCACCACCGACTGGATTTCCATAGCCAACTTCTAGCACCTTTCTGGAGTAAGGAGGAGCTCTTATTTTGAGAGCAGCCTGAAAACCTGTCAGATTACATAAGTTTTTGTAGAATGCAGCAAAATATAATTCCAATACTGAAATGTATTTTGAATACAACCCTTTTGATTTCACAGAAAGCACACAGGGAGCTGAGACTGAGGCATCAACAGGAAAAGGAACAAAAGGTGACTAGACATCCTGCACCATGTAATTCTTCACAGTAAGACAGCCTGACCTTTGCTATTCTTATTGTTTATGGATTTCTTGGTGCAATTTTCTGCTTTAGAGGGCTTAACTGTAAACTGCTTTTGGACAGACAACACTAGAGTACTGCTTCCAAAGCATATAAGAAAAATGATAATATTAGTCTTAAAACAGCTAATTTTTGTCCTCTATTTGAAAGCATGTAAATAGGAAATTGAATCTCTACATACAGAGAAAAATGGAGAAATAAGAAGCAATTTCTGTCATTGAGCCTGTGTAAACTTTCCTGCACACACTCCACCAGCATGTTAACTTCAAGCTATCAGGTAAATAGTCTGCATTTTGAAAAGATTAAAAAATTATTTGCTCATTTCAGACAGAAGCACGTACTTCTTGCTATGTGTCTCTTTGCTTGCAAATAATTCTGTCTGCTGCTCATGACTACTGGGTCCCTACCTGTGCCAGCATAACTGGGCAGAAACAGTTCACTGCATGCCAACTCCCAGAGTGATGAAGGCAGCAGAACTTGAAAGGTTCACAGCAGATACATTGAACAGCACAAACTACTCTAACCAGGCGTTGTGTGACATCTCTCTGGTGGTGTGCAGGTATTGCAGAGAAAGCATAACATCTTGTGTTGGTGAGGAGCCCGACAAACTAAGACTTATACAAACAGGAAAAAAAAAAACCTACCTTGAGGATGTGGAAGCTGGTCTTCCCAGAGCTGCAACAGGAGAAGGAAACTCACAGGATAGTCTCACTCCCACAGGTGTTACTAATTCCAGAGATGACAGACCATGCAACCTTCACCTGCAGGCAGTTCAGCAATTTGTTAGTATAATTTGGCAAGGATAGAGAAGTCATATTTAGCTCTAAAGTATGCATGTATCCCCAACTTACTGGAGTGTGGAAGCTGCCTCAGAAGGAGTCACAGCCCAAACCCACCCATGAAGAGGAATCATGCTCCTTTTGTGTATCTGTACATACTGAACATGCCAGACACACAGGAGACTAGGGCAGTGATGTGCACTATGCTAACAGCACAGTGTGTAATGCTGGAGATAGCAAGGCATCTCCTAAATTAATTTTGTGCTCTCCCTCTGTACCACCTGGCCACTATCTGCCTTTACTCTGCAGGCCCTTTCCTCCAAGGCTTCAGACCAGCTTCTCCCTCCTTTGCAGTACCATCCCCCCAGTTCATCCCTCTAGACAAGCAGCAGATCAGCACTGTGGCAAATTCCAGGTCAAAAGCTGTAAAAGAGAAGGGAGAAGTGTAGGACTCCCCAGGCCACGTTAGGCTGCTCAGGTCTGTGCCAAAACTGTCCCCCTTCCCAACTGGGGCCTAAACAGTTGGCAAGCAAAGTTTAGCAAAGGGACACACGTGTCCCACACAAACCTCCTTCATACACACCACCACCTCTTATCCAGCATGCCAACTTGGCCATGTGTTCCATGGCACTGGGAGACTTGGTGTGGGCGGAAGGGATGATGACTTGGGTGGGACATCCTCCTGGCATCTAACAAAGGCAATGCTTGGCTGCTTTTTAGGATGATGCTGATCAACCCCTGCAAGAAGCCAGGCTGTGGGCAGAACACAGCTGAACTCCATTGATTCAGTGAACTGACAACATCCATTTTTTCATCTGGGATGCACAGCTTCCTGAAGAAGCCAGCTTTAATTAGTGACCCAATCTGTAGGTGCATGAAGATAAACCTGTTCTCCATGAACAGAAACAGCAGATCTCTTTACCACAGTTTTAGTCTCTTCCTGCTCAATAGGAGCCCTGAGCCACACTATTTCATAAGTTACACCCTGCTAATCCAAGTCAAGAATAGGATGGGCCCTGCATCAGTGAGTGCCCAGTGCCAAGATGTGATGCAACTTATCTGCCTCCACACTGAACTAATGCTTTGGCTCAGTATTTGATATTCACAAGACATGGAAAATAGATGCGTATGATTTCTAAAAGGACAGGTCACTAGACAGGGTACATCAGACCAACATCTCCAAGCCTTTTTTTTTTTTTTTCCCCTAAAGATTAGCTGAAGTGCTGTTCTCCTTCTCACACTGAGGTGGTTTGGGCCAGGCTGGATGTGTCTCTGAGCAGCCTGGTCTAATGGCTGGCGACCCTGCTTGTGGCAGGGGAGTTGAAACTAGAATGATCATTGTGGTCCTTTTCAGCCCTGGCCATTCAATGATTCTACGAAATGTGGCTGTATTTCCTCCCAAGGCATCTGTCCTTTGGGAATGGAATCAAAGCATGCAAGTATGTTTGTAAAGCACCAAAATACTTTAAAAAGCATTAAATAAATACAGACTGTTAAGAGGCCTTCTTAATTGTATTAAGTATTAATTGCAGAATAATACACACACAAAAAAAACATTTCTACCAGAAATTAGCATCTGCCTGTGTGTAGGAGACAGCATCACACATTGATTTATTTCACTGAGTGTAAATAAAGCCAGTATGTGGCTCCTAGAAGAGAACACAAACAAAGGAAATCCAAGAGCTCAAGGTCAGGGTTTAAAGGACTTTTCTTTCATTTAAGTTCTAGCAGCCTTGAAAGCAGAAATTCTCCTCCAGCTTCCATGGCTTCCCCTTTCATAGCCCAGGCCCTCGGTAGCAGACTAGTTTCACATCTAGATTTATCTAATGATTGATGGATGAAATGTATTGAACTGCAGCATTTAGAGCTGAGAAGCTGAGAAGTAAGAGATGTATCAAATACATAACATAAAAACTCCTGGTATCTGACTGCAGTGAAACTTGTTCCTAGATAAACTAGCAGCTCCTTCATTTTGACCACTGAGATTCCTCCCCTTTCCACTGGCATTTAAAAGAGTGTCTCTGGAAATGCTGCGACATCAGAGAAACACACAGGCTTGCAAATGTTTGGGCTGCTAGTGAAAACCTCAAGAAAGAAACAACAAACACTTCAATGCCGTGAAAATGAGTTTGCTAGAATCGCTACAGATTGCAGATGACACTCTCCAAAAAACTTTTAGTGTGATGCTGCTAATAACAATTCCGTAGACAAATTAAATGCATAGCATTATGCAACTGTGTCACAGTGCTTCAGAGCATATCAGAATACCCCAAGAAACCAAACCAAAATATGTTTTAGTTTATCAGGTTCTAAAATGAGCCCCCTCCTTAAACAGAGACAAAAACCTGAGCTGTGCTTGGGAAAGCAGTCAGTAGCAAAATTTAAAGCAAATCCTTTTTCCCCTCATCACTTTGTCCTTATGGAAAGGGAGAGGGACTCTGTCTCTTCTGCTGGAGACCCCCTACCCACATCTCTGCTCTTTCCCTCTGCAAGGCTTCCTAACTGAAAATATTATCTTTTTCTGACAGAAGGTGCAAGGTTCTCTTCCTTCCACAGTAGCTACAAGAAGATAAACAGGCAGCTCTCCCTCTCTGCTACAACACGCAGCGCTTCAAACAACCAGAGCAAACCAAGCAGCTCTACCCTTGGTTACAAAGACCATCCACCTGGTACCTCTCATCAGAAAAGGAAAAAAGAACTTCCTAGCATAGCTCAAGTGACATGTCCTGAATCTGCCTTACCACAGTACACCCAAGACAATTAATTTCCTGCAGCCAAGGCTAAGTAAAAAGTCATTGAGCATGAATGGAAGACCAGGGGACAACGGGCTACCTGCATTCAAATCAAAGAACGTTAAACTGGTGTTTTTGTTGTCAGATCCGATGCGCAGCTGAAACATAAGCCACGAAGAGCTACAAAGACAACATTCCTCTTCTCTTTACAAAGAAGCAACTAAACAGAAGGCAGCTGCCAATAAAGCAGAGTCCCAGAAATAACATCCTCTATAACCCCTAGTTCTTGCTGTCAACAAATGACAATTATAGAGGAAGCAAGCTCCTGGCAGTCTTCATGAGCCTAGTGGGAGCATTGGGCCCCAAGTGATGGACAGCTGAACACTGTGTGCCCCACGGCCTGCAAACACACACAGGGGCTGTGCTCTCTCTGGGCAGTGGGATGTGTGCCCCATGCACTCAGTAAGCTGTGTGGGAATCAGAGGAAGATGCTTTGTGTTACAGCTTCAGGTTTCTTTGTTTTGTTTTTTCAATGGGATGTATGAATCTGTAATCAAGATGTTTTTAAGGAGTTCTCCCTTTTTGCAGCTTCCTTTTCCAGCTGCCAACATGGTTTAGATCTAAGCTTTGAGAATTTTCATGACTGCAGTGCTGGGGTTGTTCACTGTTTGTAGATACATCCATTTAGTCAGCATGGCTCTGGTGCCTCATTTGCTCCCCCTGTGTCTCCTCCAGTACACTTCCACTAGAATATCGGAATACAAGGAACAGACTTTGCAAGCCTATCAATGCCATCAGAGACTGAACCCTGCAGGTTCAACTGTAAGAAATGCCTCCTGAACAATGAAAATAGGGTTATTGTTTTTGTTGTTGTTGTTGTTGTTAATTACAGTTATACTGTGCTCCCTCTATCTCACAGAATCACAGAATGGCTCAGGTTGGAAGGGACCTCAAGGATCATGAAGCTCCAATCCCCTCATCACATGCAGAGCCACCAGCCTCCCCATTTAATACTAGACCAGACTGCCCAGGGCTCCATCCAAACTGGCCTTGAACACCTCCAGGGATGGGGCATCCACAGCCTCTCTGGGCTGCCTGTTCCAGCACCTCACCACTCTCTCTGTAAAGAACTTCCCCCTGACATCCAACTGAAATCTTCCCTCCTTCACCTTAAAACTATTTCCACTTGTCCTGCTGTTATCTACCCTTTCAAAGAGTTGATTCCCTCCTGTTTATAGGCTCCCTTTAGGTACTGAAAGGCCGCAATGAGGTCACTCCACAGCCTTCTTTTCTCCAGGCTGAACAAGTCCAGCTCCCTCAGCCTCTCCTTGCAGGGGAGGTGCTCCAGCCCTCTGATCACCTTTGTGGCTCTCCTCTGGACCCTCTCCAAAAGCTCACTGCCCTACTATCCAAGACAGTGTATTTTGGCTAAGCTGCTTTTCTCTCATTGGGAAACATTTTGCTGACTTTGATTTACTCAACAGTTAAAACAATTACCCAGGAGGCTTCCTATGCAAAGGCAGAATAGGTTATAGCTGTTAATCTGGGACCTCCACCCTCCACCCCTCAACATTTCATCACTTCAGACCAGTCCACATGCATCAGTCACGTGTTTGCCGCAAGAAGCTGCATCCATGGAAATGGCTTAAGTAGCTGGAAATTAATTGGTTTTCACTGTTTTATTGCAATAACCAAATTAAACAATGATTATAAAATAGAGAACAGTCCCATACTGTGCAGGTTTTACAAGCTGGGGAGCTATGGAAGCCTGAAAACATTCACGAGGCAAAATATCGAAAAGCCTCAAAGTTCTGCTGTACACATGCCTACAGTATGCTCCAGGGCAAGAAGATCATCTGCTCCAGCAGCAAAAGCTTAAATCTCCAAAGGAAACAGAATTACCTGTTAGTGTAGGGGTTACTATTAAAGCTGCATTACCTTCATGATCATTGCGTATCTTGAGAGGAAAGTAAGAGAGGTTGTTTGGTCCATAACATCTGTAACAATGCAAATTCAGACTTCCTTTCAGCCTTGTTTACACAAAAGGAGAAGCTCTAAGGAAGCACGTTTAAGATCCAACAGGTTGACTCTTTTAAGTGCACACAGACCCATGCACACAATACTGTAACTCCAACATGCATTCTGCTAACAAACAGCTATCACGTGTGCGAAGATAACGAACTAATTGGGCAGGATACCTGAACTCCACAGTTAGGTGCCATGAGATTCTCAAAACCCCTGCTCAAATAG